AAGGATTATGGGGACAAATGTAAGTTCAAATGATAGCTGTGCAATTTTTAAGTTCTGAAACGCCCTAACAAGTACTTATGAAGCTGACATTGCATAACAATTTTCTAATCCACTGATGAGTCCAGGCTGGCTTTTGAAGTCCACCCAGTATGTCAGCCTGAAGCTTACAAGTTAAGCTGAAAGATGCATTTAGAGCAATAAGGGTGGTAACTAACAGAGAATAGAGTACAATATCGGACACTATGGAAGTTATATGAACGCATTAGAGGGAATGTGCCTCCTTTACCTTGGCTTCCTTCCATGTTCCATACATCGTCATAAAACTCAAATTCCGGGACCTCAAACTCAGCTCCATCTTGGGAAGAACTAGCAGTGAGGCTTTTCTTCTTGATGGTGTCGTCCGTATAGCTGCGAGTAATTTTCCACTTAGGTCGGCGGACCTGAGGCAGCGTCTCTTCGTCTGGGCAAGATTCGCTCACCGAAGAAATAGACGTTCGCTTCTGGGCGATGAGATCATTTTCATCAACAGTACTAGAGACAACAGGATCAGACTCGACAGGTTCCATGTGAAGGAGAGGAATTCCGATCGAATAGTTGGTAAATTTTCCGTAACAATCACGTTATGAATTCGACTTCCAAAACTGGAAATGGACAATGCAAAATAAAAATTTGTATTGCCTTCAACCATCCTTCTGCAGACAAGCGTAACTTTGCGAAATAAGTTCAGTGTGAATATGACTCATGACCAAAAGAAAATAACTTCCAGGCAAGTTTACAAACAGAATATATTTACACCGAAATACACGAACAGATTACAGAATATCCATCAAAATCCTCTGAGCTATTTTCAGCCGTTCGGCGGACAGAGTGAGTTCAACGGTTTCACGGTAAACATTCCCCTCAAAAGGAAGACCAGCCGATATTCGACTCAAGTAATTAAGATGGGAGTTCAATTCGGTTTCAACTTCTCGAACCACATTTCGGAAGCTGTGTATATGGGCGTCCGCCTGTTTCGCTATTGGCTTATCCTTCGCAAGCTCTTCAAGAGCGTGCCCTGCATGCTGCATTATAAGCATCACTTTATTTTCTACATCATCGAGTTTTCGAAGGCGATCTTCCAAATTTACTTGTGCATTCTCCATTTTTGCAAAAAAATTAATTTACATACACGCTAAAGACGCCAAAAACAATCACCTAAAACACGAAAAAACAGGAGGCCACAACTTACCAACTAAAAGCCTAAATGTATAACAATGCAGAAAAACAAAATGATGTCGTAGGAGGCAACAGAAGAACCTTAAGTCTTTACCTATGGATTTATGCTGTAAAAACATAAAATTGTCGTAGAAAGTATTCTATATTTTTATTACAGTTTAAATTGCCTACATCTAGACGGCAGAGGGTTGCAACTTCTTCAGCCATATAACAGTGAAATGTATAAGGGAATCAAACAACATTGATTTTCCCGAAGAACCTTTCTGGTTTTAAAGATTTTTACGCTTGCAGCTCCGTCTCCTTCCCAAACACACAACTTTTGGACTTTGAAAAGGGTCCCCTTG